GTTAGATATTTGGCGTAAGTGGCACGAATGACAAAAGTCGTTCGTAAATCGCCCGCACACGAGAGCTATCTCCTTACGCCAACAGTCACGAATGACATTTTGCTAAGCACATAGCTCTAGTGTGCGCCGGCCTTAAGTGAGGAAGATTTAATGTGGATCACACTACTCAACACCATAAAACAAATAAATGATACTCAGTGGTGTGGTCCTATAATTTTAACAAGTAGGCCGTTTGCTGCATCCCGATATCGTTCACTTTCATTTCCCATGTCTTGGAACTGAAATATTTTTACGGGAACGCTGAGTTCAAATCCGAAAAGTTCCCACTCCTTAGACCTGCAGTTTTCTCACAAACGTACTGCTATTTTATCTTCACGAATTTCACGACAAATGTTTTCATTGTTCAACGACACGGATCGATGACGACAAACGATTATGTCACTCAAAGGTCCAATTTCTATTAACCAGTCTTCCTTTTAACAAAAGGCCGTTTTGCTCGAATTATTTTGAGTTATGTAATCTTATGCGTGTTGGACGTAAACAACATATCTTGACTACAACTTTGAGAAGGTACAGATAAGGCTTTCTAAAATCCTTAGTTCTAGCGATATCTCTATAAAATCACAAAAACGTTAATGCTAAGTCTTTTGGCTATGTTAACTGGCCTGAAAAATAACTCTTTTAACGCGATCAAGGTATTTAAAACAAAAGTAATGCGAAGCCAACGTAACGGCAAAGACAACGCTACAATGAAATATTGTCGATGGGTTGCTTGTAGAACACTTACGACAGGATCACTCGTAAATAATCTTAAACTAGAAGAATAAATGTTCACATCAAAGACAAAGATCAGTGCCAAAGTATAAAATCTGCTCTGCATGTGAATTTACGACGAAGTAGAGAACTGTGTGCATGAGCTGTTTATTTGGTGATTTCAACGTATATGGAAGCCTTTTTCCCAATAACACTCGCGCAGAATAACACCAACTGATATAATAGTTCAAATGCAATGATAAGTTACCTCTTGAATTACATCTCAGAAACCGTGTTGGAAATTGGAATGCTGACCCATTACATAAGATTACCGTTTTACATCGTGGTAATGTATAAAACATTTTGATCGCATGTAAGGAATTATTTCTTAGCCCATGGGAGACATAGCCTTAACATTACGTCCTTGTGATTTTATAGAGATAGAGCCAGAATTGAGAATTTTAGAAAGCGATATCGGCACCTTCCCAAAGTTGTAGACAAGATTTGTTGTTTACGTCCAACGCGCTTAAAATCACATAACTCAAAATGATCCAAGCAAAACGGTCTTTTGTTAAATGTAGAGACCTGTTCACAGGAATTAGTCATTTTGAGTCATGCAATCGTGTGTCTTCATCCATCCGTGTCGTTGAACAATGAAAAAAATTGTCGTGAAATTAGTGAAGATAAAACAGCAGTTTGTGAGGAAACTGCGGGTCTACGGAACGGGAACTTTTCGGATTTGAACTCAGCGTGTTCAAAAGTGTTAGTTCCCGTAAAAGTATTTCAGTTCCAAGACATGGGAAATGAAAATCGTTTTCTAGGCACTTTTCGAGGCCACAGCAAACGGCCTAAAAGGGGCTCATCTAGGGAGGCCTTGAGGCATGAACCACCAGAAATTGTTTTATTCTACAGTCTCCTAAAGACGATTTTCTGCACTTTAAGTGATGTTTTTATCATATTAAAACAAGAAAATACAATCACTATAGGACTCATTAATCAGAATACCGTCCTGGATATAAGGGGAAAACACATTACTCGTGTGACCTTGTGACCCTGATAATGCACAAAGGTGGAAAAACGTGATTTCGACCGGCAATTTTCAAACGGCTTGTAATTGCTCATTTTTGCTTGAAACGGTGCAAAAAAAGCAGGGATGGAAAAAATAGGCGAGCACGCGAGCACTGCTCGCAGGAAATGTTAAACAGCTGCAGGAAATTCGTTTGAATCAAGATTTGCTATTGAAAATTTGAAGGAAACCTAACACCATCTCCCACTATGGGCGCAACAACATATAGTTGACAGACATTATTCCTTAAGTTTAAAACCATGGTCCCAGCTACAACACTCTATGTTTATGCACATGCAGATTTAGCACAAAAATACTCGGTTGGTCTGCATGTAATTTTTGTCTCCAGGTTGTGCTCCCAGGAAGAAAATTCTTTTTTCCTGCTCTGCAAAAAAGTGTCATTCAAAAGCTATGAAGCCTTAATCGTTAATACTGTGCATTATTATAGCAGTGCGCTCAATATTGACAGAACAAGAGCACTCCAAATTTGGATCTTTTGTATGGCGGCGTATACGTACATGGAATACTCCCGAAAACTCCGACATTGCTGTCGGGATATTACGAAAGTCACCGAACTGTGGAATCGCATCAAAAATTCGTATATCGACCACTCCCACAAACGTCTACGACCGCGCCTACATAGTTTTGCATGTTTACAATTCTAATTTTAAACAGCTAATTACCAAGAACCTGATTGGCTGTTCAAAATTAGAATTGTAAACATGCAAAACTAGGTAGGCGCGGTCGTAGACGTTTGTGGGAGTGGTCGATATACGAATTTTTGATGCGATTCCACAGTTCGATGACTTTCGTAATATATTGAGAAAAAAAATACGCACGTGACGATAAAGTGATCATACATTTGCATAAAGCCGACGTAAGAGGAACCAAACCAATATCGAGTCAGTTCTAATAGGTAGCGCAAGCGTAAGGAAGGACAAAGCTATAACAGCGTCATGCAGTGAATGAAAACTAAGACATGCAACGAAAGCTGAGACACAAGTGAAGGCATAACATTCAGACTAGTTTTTGGAGAAGAAAAGAACATTAAACAATTTTGAAAAGACACGCTCCTGCCTTTTTTCTCGCCTGCTTTGAGAAACAGTCTTGGTGTCTTTTTGAATCATAACAGCGCAATTCTGATCCGCCAAACAACAGTGATAAAACAATGATACTGTCTCGGGTTCAAGGAGAGTCATGATGCTGTAGATAAAAACTAGAAACATCTATTCCTAAACATAGATCATGTCACATTACTCAATGTTCGAACTACGCCTATTGACTGTAGTGTTGCTGTTTTTCCAAGGTAGTATTTTATTTATCTGTGTCTTATTTACTGAATTTATGTTTATCTATACGAAGGCCAATATAGTATCTAATTCTATTTGTCATATTATGATTCTACATACATGCTTAGACTCGGAACGTGTGTTTCTTCTATGCTTGAAATATCGCTTCATTTTTCTGCTGATTCAAATTTTTAGGTATTCAAGATGTCATGACTAATTCATTCTTTGTCAGCCACCATGGAGATGATCTCAATTATTGTGGTAACTGGACTATGCCATGTCGCACTGTGCGACATGCAGTGAAGATGATCAATGACGGAGATGAAATTTATATTGATTATGCGCAAGGAAAACCGTATATGGAATGTGAAAATCCCAGGCAATCAACATACTCCCAGTCCATCGAGTTGACAAAATCTGTTTCATTTTATGGTATCAATGGAAAAGCTAAGATTCGATGCACGAAATGGAAAGTTCTTTTTAAGATAACGAGCGTAAGTTTTAATATAACGCGAGTCAAATTCTGCAATTTGGTTATATCAAATTCGAATAGTGCAGTTCGGCTTGACGTAGGAACCAGGTCGGAATTAGTATTTCAGAATATGCTCGTCACAAATAACCAAATTGGTTTGTACAGCAAATTTTCCGCTCATTGCTCCATTCTGATAACCAACTCAAGTTTTGAACATAATTTTCCTGGGGGAATACGTCTGAAGTGTTTTAATGTCACTGCGCACATTATATCAAGTACCTTCAAATTAACTTCTGTGTTGTTCGCGAACATTGGTGACAAATCACCACGCTGGCAGAATATGAGGATCTGGGTTCGAAGTACGGTTGTGGACGGTGAAAATACTCAACGGTGTGCCGAAATGTTTACGATACAGCCGTTAGCCGCCACACTCAATATCACAATAACTGACTCGCAGTTTAAAAATCAGCTTGCAAATTGCAGATCCAGAGATCGTATTTCTACATTACACATATACGGCCATAATTCAATTATCCAAATGAATTTAAATATATTTTTGAGCAATCTGTTGATCGAGAATAACTACAACAACTGGGCTACATTTACATTAGCTCCAGGTTATCAGGATTCCACTGAAATGGAAGTTGTGATACGAGACACTGTATTTAGGAATAATTCGGCAGCACTTTTGATTGATTGATTGATTTTAATAATTACCACATTGTAAATTAATAAAAATTTAAAAAACGTGATATTACATAGATAGTATTAAAATTTTTAAATTTGCAAAAAGTTCAATTTAAAACTACTATAATATAAACTATATTAATGATATGTACTATAAAATATTTTGTTATGTCTATGGTCAGTCCCAGTTTCTAACACACTTTGGGATAAAACTGTTCTTATATCGTTCAGTTTTGCACTTATACATAGGATAAGTGCGTTTATTTCTTAGACTGAATTTGTGAGATATAGCACTGGGAAGTAGCGTTCTCAACTTATCGTCTGAGTGTTGATGGATATTCTTATAGAAAGACAAGCACTGATTCTCTCTTCGCTGGTAAAGTGTAAGAAGGCCAGTGTTTCTTAGTGAGGTAGTATAGGAGGACTGGGGGAAAGCGATTTTCAATGCACGTTTTTGTATACTCTCGATTTGATCAGCGAGGAATTGAGGGAGAAAAAAATGCCATACAGGTGAGGCGTATTCCAAAACTGGACGAATAAATGCACAAAAGACCGTTATTAAATCATTGGCTGGGGCACCAGATCGTTTGAGGATCCTTAGAGCATAAAGACGTTTACTTGCTTTGGTGCAGATGTAATCAATGTGCGCATTCCAGGTAAGATCCGATGATATTATCACTCCCAGAAGTTTAAAGGTCTGGACGATTTCTATGTTTAAACCAGATGAAGAGAGGGCATCGAATACCATAGGGACTCTAAGAAAGGATATACGCAGTTCTTTGGTTTTACCCTTACCATAATGGCTGGTCTCGAGACAATCGTGCTACAATATATTTTGACAATAATACCTTCATTGATAATATTTATAAACCGCTAAGACCTGATGGTGCAGCAGCGATTTACTTCGAGAATGGTAATAGCAGGGTATCGTCGTGTCGCTTCCTCGACAATAAAGCCGGTAGAAATCTTTATACGGGTGTAGTCACAATTTCTAAAACGGCGAGTGTTACATTTTTTAATTCTCATTTTGAAAACCGACAGACAAAAGTACAATCCAACCAGCTATTTGCATCAGGAGACCGACGCGTTCAATTCATTGGCTATAATACGTTTAATTTAGTTGCTTTGAAAGAAGGCCAATCAGTTTTTATTCGTATACCGAGCGCGATTAACGCTGGAGTGATTATTAAGAAGAACTTTAAGATCTTCTGTCCAAAAGGCTACACGATAAATCCACAGCGATCGTGCGCAGGTATCAAAAATGGAATCACGTGTTACTATATTAATGTCCGATGCGAGCAGTGTCCAACGAAAACCTACACACTCCAAAGAGGCGAGCTGATTTTTAACACGAGTAATAACATCCAATGTCAGCAATGCCCTCGAGGAGGGGACTGTGCTAGTGGACTGGTCACAGCCAAACCTACTTTTTGGGGTTACAAAAGTAAGATGAAAGTTCGCTTTGTTCATTGCCCACCAGGATACTGCTGCGAGTCCGAGGACTGCGCCACCTATGATAGTTGCCATGGAAACAGATCTGGGACAATTTGCGGTCAATGTCCTGAAGGAATGTCGGAAAGTTTGTTCTCGACTTTATGTATACCAAACACAAAATGCTCCTTAAATTACTTCTTTATCTTTGGAATAATTGCATTGTTTATTCTTTATCTTCTCTTCTTTCTTTACCAGAAAGAAATTCTGAGCTTTCTTCGAACAAGTCTATTTAGTAAGCGCTTATCGTCCTCAATTAGTAGAAGAACTGAGCGAGGAAACACCGGTGCTAATACATCTTCATCCAGCGGCATGATTAAGATATTCTTCTATTACTATCAAGTTTGTAATTTGCTAAGAAGTTCTGTAGGTTCTTCTAAAAGGGGTGAGTTTCTTCACAATTTTGAGGATGCTATCTCTAGGGTAATGAATATGGTTGTAATAAATCTTCCATCTTTTAATTGTCCTTTGAAAAACCTTCGCCCTGTTCCTAAGATAGTCATACTACATTCCGTAGGATATTGCCTTCTTGGACTACTCTTTCTTCTCCATCTGTTAAACAAGTTGTTTGTGATGTCTAGAAGATTAAAGCGAGGTAGCGATAGAGGAACATCGTTGGAATATATTGCTGCAAATTCTAATCAAACAAGTAGTGGTTCAAAATCGTCATTTTCCAAGCGACTGCTTTCCGCTTTCACATACATTTCCTTATTAATGTATGCTTCCTCAGCTCAACTCTGCCTCTCCTTGCTTCATTGTGTACCAGTTGGTGAAGATCAAGTTGTATTTCTCGATGGTAACATAAAATGTTACCAAACATTTCAATATTTTCTTCTAGCTTACGTGATTTCTTCCATACTCCCATTCTGTTTAGTTCCTGTTCTCGGCTCGTATCTTTTAAAGTTTGGTCGAATTGGTGTTAAACAATTTTGTGTGGCTTGCATCTTCCCTCTGCCATTTTGCTGTTTTTGGATGTTCTTGTTGCTTAAGAATCCTCTTTCTGGAAATCAGGCACCAATACCACAAAATAATAATGTAGAAACAGACGAACCACGTAATAACGATACAGAAAGTCTTAGCGGTGAAGATATTACCTTTGCCTGCACTGATAGCAGTGAGGCGACCTCTAAGGGAAGTGAATCAGCCATTCTTGGTGTTTTATTGGGCCCATTTAGACCTCACCAAGCTTTTGTATGTTTTCCTGCTTCACGTATTCCTTGGGAAGGTTTTTTTATATTCCGTAGATTGGTCTTGATTATTGTGTTGACTTTCGTCTACGACATTCAGCTCAGATTGTTTCTAGCCTTAACATTGTGTGTTGCCATTCTAATCTTCCACATGTTTGTGAATCCTTTTCAGAGAAAATGTGACAACATCCTGGAATCTTTTTCTCTTGGTGCACACGTAGTTTTGTGTTGTTTAACTTTACTAAGAGCTTTGTATTATGGTCAAGATTATTCTTTTTCAAAAAGTCTGCCTCTATTGGATGTGATTGAAAAGATTCTCATAGTCGCTCCATTGTCAGTCATTGTCATTGTGGTTATTGTTTGCATTGTGGTGAAGTTGGCATTTGGTTTGATGTTCTGTGTATCGGTATTCATTCGAAATGTGAGGAGGCTTGTAAGGTTTTCTGTGTAGTATACTTGATGTAAATAATGTGAAATATACATTTCATATGAATAATATGAAATCTGAATGTGAAATGAGCTGAGGTCCTGCAGATAAACAATTGATATAAACGAGACACACAGAGGAGGGGAGTGGACTTTTATTTAAAGGAAAATGCAGAAAAAAATTATGTTTGCCTAATTTGAAAGAATGTTGGGATTAGTTGCAAATCCTTTTCACAAATTCTCCCAAACAATCTTAGTTTTTGAGATAATTGAAACAAAAATATGCCGCCATCTTATTTTATAAATAGATCTAATTAATTAAATGACGTAATGACCAGGGTAGACATTTTAAAAATTAAAAATATCAGTGAAACGTTTATTCCTAGTTTGCGCTTTTATTTTAAAATAGGCAATAGTAAAAACTAGAAGTTATCATTAAAATTGCGTGAGAATTGCCGAAGATACAATATACTGTTACCCTGGTTGTGACGTCACGCATATCCGACGAATAATGATTTCGTTTGAAATGAAGTTAAATGAAATGTGCAATATATTTTATAGCAAGACCGATATAGAACGTCTGTGAAAAGGTTTTGAACTGAATCCCTCTTCCAAATGGGAGAGGCTTAATTTTTATTGCTATTTCCCTTTAAACAAACTTTTCATATATTTTTGGCTTAGCTCTTTTAGAAAACTTACCTTGGATCATTTAGATAAATATAGATTACATACTGTAGGTAGTTATTATATTCCAGTAATTTAGATATACACTTAAATATGATGTCAACTCCTGTGCACATGCGCGAACTTTGCTTACGTTTTGAACTGCTTTATTTGTAGAATATGATATACTAACTGAATATCTAACACTTTTCTGGTTCGCTATACTTGTAAATGAATATAAACTGTACGTTCAATTAAAAAAAGTTCGAAAGATGCAAAAGTTGGGCAATGTTTATATCTGGGGGTCCCCCTTTGTTATGAGCAGAACTGATGCGCAGAACGGAGTGGACATCATCTTTAACTAACAGTTTAATTTTATTAATATTATTCATTCGCTAAAACTCTTAACGTAGTATAATTGCAGTAGAAAAAGCACGTGTAAACTAGTACTAGCTAACTGTGGATCTTTTAAATAAATAAACGCAATACACGTAGCCAAGTCGTTGTCGACAATGTGAAACAGTTATCTGTCGTCTGTTTTGTAATATGCTGTGAGCGTGCACTGTAATAGAGATTTTTCGACATTGTGTTACATCATCATAATTTATAATGTCAACCCCAGTGGACGCGGAATATGCAAATGAAAGAAATAACATTGTGTGAAGACTAACCCGGCAATCTGAAACAGAATTTACAGCACTGTGTAAAACGCAAAGCTTTCAATTTTTCATTGGAAATCCGCTGGAAAATGAGCCTGCTGTACTGGGATAAAATTTGCCGAATATGACCAGCGAACAAGTATTCGTCACTGAACGGTCTGAATTGTAGGAATGAGAAGCAGATTTTGGACGAAGTAATTTAAATATTTTGCAATATAAAAAAGCCAGAAAGTACAATCCACATTATTTTGAGGAAGGTTTGAGTGAGAACTTGAAATTTTACATGGAAAAAGGTTGAACACTTTTTGCAACCCCGTTACAAACGTTGCAGAATATGATGGATCGTAAAAATACTGGGTAGGAACTTCAAACTCATACATGCATGATGTTTGCCTGGTGTTTTCAGAGTGCTGGTGGCGTCCCAATCTTGTTGAAAATTATCACTAAATCCAAAATAATTCCACGTTTAGCGATAATACAGTTGAGTATTTTGGTAAACAAAATCCCGTAAGAACACAACCATTCTACGATGGAATGTTTAAATATTCTTGGTAATTTTCGGGGAACATATCAAACACTATATTTCAATAAAATGGAGCATAATCGAGTGACTTTCTAAAAGTCCAACAAAATTCCAGTGTATTCGGAATGAAATAATGACCGCGCAGTGGTGGATTTTTTTTTGGGTGGGGGCGGGGCGGAGGTGCAAGCTTCTGTTGGGCTTGGTTAGCAGGGATGCAAGGGGTTTTGAGGTATTCAAAGTTTGTATCAGTATCAGTTTTAGACTAGCTTAAGTTTTTGAATTCAAGAAAGCCCCGCAGCACTAGTTCAAAATACTAATAAGTCCAATATTAATAATTGACATAATTTTGCTGCAAATGTCTGACATTATAAGTATTTGATAATGAAAATAAAAATTGGAAAAGCAAACAAATATTCCAATGTGAAATTTATATTCCATTTTCTCTTTCACACAATCACAGTATCAAGAGAGTTGAGATTTATATTTCACATGAATATTATACAAATAATGAATGTTTATGAGTGCAATGGTAAAAATATTTTCATGAGGTGAAAGATGGAATGTTCCATTCAACGAGGCGACAGCCGAGTTGAATGGAACATTCCATGTTTTACCGAATGAAAATATTCTTACCATTGCACGAAAAAAATTCATTATTTGTTTTATATAATACCAAAATAGACTAATAGATTCGTACGAGAAGAATTTTAAGGGATGCGATTTATCGAAAACACAAAGAGTGCAATTGTACTATACGTTTTGTTCCATTACACTCGCAGAGAGTACAATGGAACGTATTCCATTGCACACTTGGGAAATGGAATTTTCTATTCAATATCACGTGACCATAAACAGCCAATTAAACGATCAGAATTCAATAAGGTATTATATAATAAAATATATTTATTCAACTTATCTGTTGCATGTCTGTTGTATTTCTAGAACTGATTTCCGTTCAAGTTACATCATGAACACCACAATTAATGGTATTGAAGTAAGTGAAGCCAAGTTTTGTTTTATTAAAATTCCACAGTAGAAATACAGTAGAACCAGGCTAACTTCAAGTTAGCTGGGGTTCGACTTTTACAGGGTCGGTCTTGGATTTCGTTTATTATGTTAATAAGGTATAGTCGTTTTATTATTCATCATATTTGTGAGCCGTTATGGTGGACTCTGTAAAGAACTTACAAAGTTCGTGCAATCGTTGCCTAAGTTAACAGTCCCTGCATCATACCTACCACTGATCTGAAATAAGAAGTGGATAGCGCATATACTGTGCATAAGTGAAGCCAATGGCGGCCATATTGGATGCGCCCACCATTAATCTAATCTGGTGTTGTGGACATGTTTAACTCTTCCCTTATGTTTCTAGTCACTAGTGGGAAAGGACAAATATTGCCTAGATAAGAATTTATCATCAGTAGCCTCTCTTTTTTCCTAAATATGCCGGTGAATGGGTCATCAAAGATGCCGCCATCAGCCTCATTATGTGGTGTATAAAACGTTCTAAAAGGTTTGCCGATCCGCGCCAATGAAAAATGAAATTTGTTCGTGTTAGCAAGGAGTTTGAGTTTAAGTGATTTCGAGTTAACCAAAGTAAATTACTTATAAAAATTGGGTCAAATCCCGTGGTCGGTTGTTTGAAAGCCGATCACCTTAACCCTAGGTGAACCTAAAATTCAAAGCAAATTTCCTAACAGGGTTGTTTATAAATTTGGAAATATTTCTTCAGAAATATTGTCTGGAACAGTAGGAGTTTTCTTCTCTGAAGTTTGGAAATAAACAGACGTGCAGAGATACATATAACTAAAACGGCAGGTTAAATTTCAACCGAGGATCCAGCTTTGAATAACCAGCCGCAGGGGAAACTGGATTTAGTTCGAGTTGAGCGAGTTCAAGTTAGCGAGTTTCTTACTGTATTCCTAATGGTATCGCATACAACTTTATATAACAATGTATGTATCTGTATTTTCTAGGAGGCAGATGCTGTTGTGATTATCGGAACAAATCCAAGATACGAAGCGCCTCTTATTAACAGCCGAATACGAAAAGCGTATGTAAATATATTCTATCCATATATTTTGCGCGTCTCCAAATTTGCCTGGCCTTTTTTTTTTCATTGAAAATGTCTACTTTGTGTTCAAAGTGTGTACTGATTTGAAAGACCGTTTCAAATTATGTATTAAATTTGGGCGCAGATTTTTCATTTTAAACTTAACTATTGGAATGTTTTGACTAAAAGCAATGACTTTCTGCCATCTTGGATTAATTCTTAACTTCATTAACTATGGTTTTGATGACGTCAAGTGTGGGAATAGCCTTGTAACATCTCCAAGTGACCGAGTAAAGATCAAAAGTTGTTTAAAATGCTTCTATATTCAATTCGCAATATGAAATAGTACGAGTTTTTGGCTGATACTACTATTTTTCGAATCGCTATGGTAATCGTGTATAAAGATTGGAGAATTATTGCAACAACGATTGAGTACCATAATTGTTCCTTTCCTCTCTCGCAACCTTTACACATATCTGATGTTTTTATACTTCTTTCTCTTAGATGGTTGCATAATGATTTACAAGTGGGTGTACTCGGACCTCAACTAGATCTTACATATACATACGAGGTAAAGAAACGTTTTGAGTTTGAATTATAGGCCTAAGTGAACTTTACTACTACTAGCAAATAGAGTGGATTCTCTCTCACGCCATGTATTTTAGTGAGGATTCTGTGCTATAACCCTTGACTAGCACGCAATTTCGCATAATATGAAGCGTACTCGGAATATTAAAGTCTTGCAACTCGAGATCCGAGCTATTTAAGCAAGATAACAAAATTCAAGATAATATTTCGATTCTATTTCAGAGTCAAAGCGTGCTGAGATCTTTATACGTGTAGCAAAACAGGAAGTCGACTGATTACGTCACGTGCCTGTTTTGGTACTTATAAGATCTTCGCACACTTGTACCTGGGCCTGCATGACCAAATAGCCCAACATTTACATATATATAAACGGATTAGTGGTTGCCTTTGTGTTCTACTGTTAAACTGACTCAAACATTATTTGCCCATAGCATTTAGGTGAATCGCCGAGTTCACTTGCAGATATTATAAGTGGAAAACATCCATTTTCGAAGGTACTGTATTATATGAATTCAATTATTATTGCACATTTTTTTACCGTCTGGTTAAATTATTTGTTCGCGCCAAGCGACTTTTTTCTTTGTCGGCATCCCTTTTGCTCACTTGTAAGCTATGGTGACAAAGAGCCGCCATCTTGTTTTTTTCTCCTGGCAGGTTATGAGCTACTGTACTATCTTGCTTGTAGAGAGCCTGAAACTATCTGAAAAACATAAGGAGAGTTTCGACGTTTCGAGCGAAGGCCCTTCGTCTGGAGTTCATCTGGCGCATTTAGTGTCTTTTCCTGCTACTGACTCCCATAACTATATCTTCTATTTTTTCCTTCCCACCCCAGCCACACCTAAAGGTCCATTCCCTTCTCTCAGTTCCATCGCCTTCGCCGCATTTGCAGTGTAGAGGAGGACTTCCAAGCCAAAGGTCTGGAAATGAGACACTCTTTTGTCCAACGTGGCTATCCCACCTCTCTAGTAGACACTGCCTTTTCCAGTGACTCCCAAATTCCCCGATCTGAGACCCTTACAGACCCTGTGTCCAATGTCACAGGTAACAACAAAATCCCCTTAGTGTTAACTTATCATCCTTTCAATTTCAAAGTTAGAGATGTCATTAGGAAGAATTTCCATATTTTGAAAAACGCCCCCGAAACATCTTCCATTTTCTCCAATAACCCTTAGTCTCTTTTTGACACAGCAAAAATATCCGTGAAACCCTAGTTCACAGCGGCATAGTACAAAACATGGACTGGACTGGACAGTTGGACTGGACTGGACAGTTGGACTGGACTGATTTTTAGATTTTCTCTATTCTTGACATGCATGTCACCCGCCATGTCAGGTGGCATGGCACAAAAGAATATTTTATCACAGAATAAATATACCATGTCAAGTATTTTGTGATTTTATTAATAATGAACATTGTCTGGTGTGTACCAGGAGGAGATTGGTTGCAAGTCAAGAACATAACGTTTTACACCTGAATTACTTTTGATTTTCGGAAATTGAAATACTTTACCTTCGCCGATGACCTCACTTTATAACTGGAGTGAAATCTCTTAAAGCGAAAGAAACCCCAGTAAGTAGAATAGAATACAATACCAAACATAAACTACTTATCTGTCTTTGCTATGGGTAGCCTGCTCGCATACGTATTAAATTTCGATATTTCAGTCTGCATGGCCATGGGCATAGAAAGATAGATAATTGGCAGGGGGGGGCAGGAGCTCATATTCATATATTTGTGGTCTGCATCATTAACTTCTTTTGAATTTGATTGTTTTTACAGTCTGCGAACATGAATATATGAATATGAGCCCCCCCCCACAAGATCTTCTTACGATCATGGCAATACGTATCCGAGCAGGCTACAAAGTAGTTTATGTTTGGTATTGTATTCTATTCTTCTTAGGGGCCGACCATTAACTTTTGAGGGGGATGGGGGAGGGGGTGATTTCCTGCAAGGCTATTCTGAACAAAAGAAAATGCCTGCACTAACAAACTGGGGGAAAAAATATCCTGCCCCAGTATTTGGTGGGGGAAAAAATGTTGCAAAATAACATGGTTGCAGGGATCGATTTGACCAGTCCCAGAAGATCAGCTGGTTTGATTTTCGGAGACTATAGTGTAAGGTTAATTTCTTGTTGGAAAACTCCTGAAAATGCTGGAAATAGCTTATCTGAGCTTCACAAAATCCACAATTTTCTGGGGGGGGGCATGCTCCCAGACCCCTGTAGAGGCTTGCACATTCGGTGGTCGACTCGGTTGTCTCAGAATCCTAGTTAATATTGGCCTGATCTGCAGGCAGGTATAAAAGTCGGACCGGATTGTGGTCCGGGTCGGATCAGGTCGGACCAAGTCGGATTAGGTCGGATCTTAAAGAAATATCAGGATATTCAGGGAAATGTTACTTACACAAGTGGAAGTTTCCATTCTTTCTCGCGTTACTTACACAGCGTGAAGTCAAGGCCTGATTCTACGGGCGCTTTTTCTCGGCGAAATGCGAAATATTTCGCCTGTTTCTTTTGAATTGTGAGCAATCAAGTAGAAATAATTTATTCGAGTAGTCGCAATTCAAAAGAAACAGGCGAAATAATTCGCATTTCGCCGAGAAAAAGCGCTCGTGGAACCAGGCCTTGAAACAGCGTGGCAAATCTGCAAAATGGATGGCGACGAAGGTAAAACATTTTATGTTATTAGATTTTAGACCACTTTTTTGAAAATTATTGCATCGAACTGCCTTATCAACATTTTATTTCCTTCAATTCCGGACTAGCGATTCGGTGATCTATGGATCCGGTCCGACTTTTATACCTACATGATCCGACCCGGATCACAATCGGGTCCGACTTTTATACCTGCACGATCCGACCTGATCCGACGCGGACTGGCGATCCGATCCGACGCGGACTAGCGATCCGGTCCGACTATTATACCTGCCTCTGATCTGCTGCCCTATGGCGTATACTTATTAGTTAAACCATGCATATATATATATATGCTAGTAGCTGCAGTGATACAGACTTGCCGACTGGAACTTCTCCAGGTCCCCGCTAAATATATGTCCCCTCCAGTTACACATCCGTAAAGAGGCCCTGAACCAAATCTTATACCTCATAGCAATATGTATTATTAAAAGCAATGCATGAAGCTAGAAAACGCAACGTTAACTATTATTAATTAAAGAATCTAAATAGTATAAGCTATTGAAAAAAAAAATGCTGCGAAAGAGAGAGTGGCAAAAAATATCGTACATGGTGATGGGATAGGGGAAAAAAATCCTGCACATAACGATCCCATATCAAGAAAAAAATTCCCTTCCAGCAGTAAATCTCCAACCCCTCCCCCCCCCTCAAAAGTTAAATGGTCGGCCCCTTACTGGGGTTTCTTGAGATTTCACTCCAGTTATAAAGTGAGGTCATCGGCGAAGGTAAAGTATTTCAATTTCCGAAAATCAAAAGTAATTCAGGTGCAAAACGTTATATTCTTGACTTGAAACCAATCTCCTCCTGGTACACACCATGGTATATTTATTCTGTGATAAAATATTCTTTTGTGCCATGCCACCTGACATGGCGGGTGACGTGCAAGTCAAGAATAGAGAAAATGTAAAAATCAGTCCAGTCCAACTGTCCAGTCCAGTCCAACTGTCCAGTCCAGTCCAGTCCAACAGTCCAGTCCAACAGTCCAGTCCAACTGTCCAGTCCAGTCCAACTGTCCAGTCCAGTCCATGTTTTGTACTATGCCTAATTTTATTGACACTCAATAAGATCCCAGGAAATTCAGCCAAACGTAAAGCTGAAAAACTAACCAATGACAACATGGTAGCTATTTCTTCGCAGAGGTCCGTCCGAAAAATGACAAAATTTGCTTTAAAATTTGAATTTTTTATCTATCAACATACTGCAAAGTCGAAAAGATTGATAAGATTTGGCTCTTTTTTGGCTTTTTTCAAAAAAATGAAATTTGGCCTTATTTAGTAGAATTTGGCCTTTTTTAAAGGTCATTTGGCTTTGGCATGCGCGAAAGCCTACCAACCCTGGGGGAAACTAAGCAGCATATCGGGTATTCGGGTGTAGCGTGCAGGCAATGGATTTAACGACCGGTTCAAAAACAACAGACATCTTTCCAGACTGTGAAATACGTCAATGAAACAGCCGGAGCTCTCAAATAGAGGAATAATCTGTTCATTCCGTTGTCATGATGTGGTCAAACTAGTTCTGACGTACCGAAAGAACAATTAACATATGCATGTATCTGTTTCTTGGAATTCGCCTCTGGGCGTCGTCGTTTCATGTCCGACGATCGAATTACAATTTTTTATTATCTTAGACTTCCAGGTATTGTTTAATTAACAAAAACGCTGCATGAGATATAGTCATGAGGGTAAATATAGATCCCACACAATCAAATAATATATTCACTAAGTTGGTTGGTGATTATTTCACAGCTATTAAGATCTGCCACGTTGCTTTAACTTGCTTGGAGGGTATTTGATGGGCAAAAATCGCTATTGAAACCTAATGACCCTATAATTAGCTAGCAGTAAGTTTCAGTGATATGTCAACAAATTTAGGTAATGAGTCTCGATCGTCAGTCTGAAAATCATAGAAAAACCTTTTAACCTGATGATAACGTATATAATTACACCAGCCGACGCTGTACCCTCAAGCTAAAAAAATTAAATGCATGTATTTTCGTTTTAGAGATTGCTCTTATCTGTGATTTTATTACAAAAGTCATTAGTACTAATTATACAATAGGCATGCACCAGGCTGTACATACTAGACAGGAAACAAGTTATTAATAAAAATACCAGAACCAATATAAAATTCAACATATTGATAAAACTGTGTATCCATAAGCATGGTATCATTTTGCAGGGCCTCCATTGCATGCCCTCGCCCCTCGGTATTTTACATGTTCGCAAGACACACCTATATAGATAGATAAGATAGACACAATTGGCCAATTGTGTCTATACTTGTATATAATATACCGAGTAACCGAGGGAGATAGATAAGATAGACACAATTGGCCAATTGTGTCTATACTTGTATATAATATACCGAGTAACCGAGGGTCCGTCTCGACTCGAACGATCGAATCAGCCGGGTTAGAAACTACTATATTATATACTCAAAATATTATATGAATCGGATGGTTTCCAATTAGGCAAATCGATATCACACAAAACCACTGGCGAAAGATCATATCTTGACTCTTGCCATTGCCATTGGCCATTCATGCAGCCTTCTGATCATTTTTGTATTTTTCGGACCATAGTTTTTAAATTACTTGTTTGAAGAAATGCATTTTCAGGTTTTAAGAATACCATATCACTGTATGTTACAGACATATCTAACGCAATCAAGATTGAAATAAATGGAAATCACTAGGAATCAGCTCCGAAATCAAGTGATTTCGAAATCTTCTACGGCCGTGGCGTGCTCCTCGATGGCTTCAAGGATGACTTGCAAAATTATAAAATTAAGAATATCAAGTTCTCGGGGAAAATCTATACTGCAGCCAAAAATCTTGACAGGCGTCTGAAAATCTTGAAAATCTTAACAGGCGTCTGCACGACGTCTCTTACTCCTAATGTAGATCATTTCATTATAACCTTAATCTCCCTTACCTGCAACTAGTATGACGGAAATGTATTGAGCCATAACTGAATCACCAGACTTCTGCAAAATCTTCTTCAAGTTTCAGTCAATTCAGTCGACTGTATTAATAAGGTGTCAGACGAAAAGTGATACCTTTGACGGCCTTGCACCGATCTTAAATAGCCTAGCACAGGAACTGGGTGTTTCCGGGAATACGCAGAAATTATTAATCTATCTACTAAATCTATCCGATTTTTTGAATTCCAGTAGCGCGCTGACAACATGCATTGTAGGGAAATTTTGATTTCCCGAGAAAAATTCAGTATCTTGGGGATATTGCGCCATAGTTTGCCGTTATGTTTATTTTGCATGTTTGCATAGACAAGTCGGACCACACTGAAAAATCATCCTAGCAGTACCTAAATGAAACTGAAAGGTCAGCGCGGGAGTTTGCTCGTTAGATCGACTGATCGAGTGAAGTTGCAACTGAATACGAGTGTTCATGCAACAAACGTTCAAAAACGTTGGGTATTTTAAAGTTGGATCAGTTTGTAGATCGGGAAGTATTTATTATTTTAAATATCTGCTGTCAACCCTGTACAAATTGCGGAAGCATATCGCGCCATATATTTCAGGCAACGTATATTTCAGGCAACGTATATTTAGGGATATTTCAGGCAACGTATAGCAGAGTAAGCAGACAAGAATTTGCAAATATTTATTAATGATGAACAACTAAACCAAGCTAGAGCAGTCATTAAAGCATTTAGGAATAATAATAGATTCAGTTAAAAAACTAAATTATATCAATTAACTAGCCTTTCTCACGCCGCCATTTTTGGGGGGTACTGCCTTTTCCAAATCTGAGATTGTAGGCAGTGAATAAGGGATTTGTATAACTATAATTGTGAGTATAATCATTATAAGTTAATTTATTTACATCGCTTAGATTTTTCATGTCGTTTTCAAAAAAGTACCCCAAAAATTGCGAATTTGGCCTTCGTGAGAAAGGCTAATTGAAAGCTTCGTCGTTATGTTAGACTATTTACTCCCAAAAAACTTTATTATACTCATGAGTCATGTTTTTATCCCGTTCTCACATATGAAATTTTGGTATGGGGGCGTGATATCAGACTTCTCTCCAGCCATTATTCATTTAAAAAAAGCAGTTAGCTAATTCGTATTACAACTACAGTAATTCTAGATTTCGTGAACATACAAGTCCTATTTTTAAATATTCAAATTTCATTAAACTATGTGATGTGGTAACCTTTGAAATTGCTTTCAATTCAGATATACATTTTGTAATCGGTTGTTGCAACTTGTTTTTCTAATTTCTTCTTCACTGTAGCTATAGTCAACATGACTGTAGTACCAGATTGTCTTCTTAGTAGTCTCAGCGAGGAAAACCTTGAGGAAAACATAATTTTGACCGGAGTGATCAGATGCAGGATTCCCAGTGCGTGTTGAAATACACGTGAGATCTTTAATTAAAATGTTTGGCAGATTCTTGCTACTCTGCTACCCTACTGTAGGGCAATAAAAAACTATGATCAGACATTACGTGAAAGTAAAAGTGTTTTCATCGAGGTTTTCACCACAACAGCATCGAATATGAGCTCTTGTATATGATTAGCAGTGGATACCGAGAATCTCTACCAACTACCATGAAGAATCGGAGTATCGTACGTCCGCAACGTGCCTAAACATGCATTAGACTAATTAGCATGTATTGGACTTAGCATGCATTAAGAAAGTAAATATGCTCTTCCTTGAAATAATAATTTAAAATCAATACTGTGAGCTATACAATCACATTGCATATTTTTGAACTGATTCCCTTGAAACTTATTGATATTGTGACCCCGCATTAATTCATTTAAAAGTTCAAATTTCTTATCGAAAGGGAAACCATGCACAAGCAAGAATCGAAAACCCCAGGGACGTGCTGGCTAGGGAAGAGTCAACGAGAACTCGTTGTGGGCCCCTGCCATCATGGGCCCCTAAAATTAAAACATTGCAATTTTTGAGATTTTAGATATTACAATTTATACTGTAAAAATCAAAATTTACGAAAATATTATCGAAAAATATTCGTTTGTGGGACTGAAAAGTTAAGATATGCACGGAAAAATTTTAGTATTTCCGGAAAACTGACGAGATGTCCGGAAAAGATTTTGTATTCCAGGAAAAAATACGATATGTGTGGAAAAATTTCGGTATGTCCGGAAAAAATTGGCGACCTCTGCCCCGCTTGCCAACAATTTTTGGAAAAAATAATATTGAGCCATCGTTTACTGTGCCTGGGCCCCATCAGGCGTTGCTCATTCGTTGTCCTTTTTAAGACCCCAGCACGTCTCTGTATAACCCTTCTTAAAAAAATCACCAACACAAACTACACGAGAATTTAATTTATAATAATTCAATTTATAAAACTCTCTTTATACCAGATAAAGTTACAAGTGTTAGGAGGAACCAGCCTAACAAATAAATACTAAAAATCATTCTATATTATTACATTTCAACTATGGAACGTGCATGAAATTAGCTGTTATTTTAATGGAGAAGATCGTCCATCATTTGATGCAGAATAGAAATTCGTGGACAAGAATACTGAATTGAGGTAAAGTTCTGAATTCATGAAGAGAACTAAGTCAGAAATTCAAATTCAGCCTCTTCTGATTAGACGCCCACGAGCGTCGACTGTGACGCAGGCTATGTTCTAAGGTTATTGGCCGTGGTCACTGGAGCATTAGGGAGCTTTAGCAACGAGTACGGCTACGAGTACGAGATTTGTCAAGCGAAACGCATGCTGTATGCTTACGCCATCCCGTACTGACGCGAAAAAGTCGTAGCCGTCACTCATCTGAGTACGAAATTGTGGAGAAATCTCGTAGTCCTCACTACGACTTTTCAAAAAAACAAAAATTGTTTTTCAATTGTTTTTCAAAAATAATTTGTAGCGTTTATCCGGCGCAAATAATCTATTAGTATTAAATATCTGGCTTGTTTTTAATGTTATTTGCACATTTTGTAGGGGATTTTGGCCTGCAGGAGATTTAGTTTATATGAACTTTTTCTTTCGTTGTTTGTCTACTACTATAAAAGCAACATTTGAACGGAAACGAGAACGGCTACGGTGATTTCCTCGCACGCGAGCAAATCTCGTACTCGTACTCGCTGCTAAAGCTCCCTATTATCCGATGCTTAGACCATCGGTCTTTTCTGAAATAATTTTTCCCAGCTCGATCAGTGAGATGGAAAAGTACAGCAAATCATAATTTCTAATTGAACTGATCTAGAGGCTTTAACAAATCTAGCCACTGTATTTCTGGGAACATTGTCATATGACATGTCACTGACTAAGTTACTTTTTCAAGTCTCGTCAGAATCTGAGGCCAGTTAAGATCTATAGACTCCAGAGAAGCTCGGAAAATATGGTGTTCGCAAGCACGCAAACCAAATGAATGAACAGCACTTAGTTACGCCGGGCTAAATGGAAACGAGTGACAAGTGCAATTAACTTGAACAGATTTGATCTACACTGTACCACATGATGGACTAAAGCTCTTGGGCACGGAGAAAGCACTTAATTATACGAGTTTCCCCACGCAACCTGGCTCATATAAGGAAGCCTGAAAGAGTTACGCCGTGCAACTTTCTCTATTAAAACAACATTAAGACATTTGATTTACTGACTGTCAAAGTCCTTCTCAATATCGAGATTCTTAATCTTCAGTCGGTTTCCATGTTCGGTTCTGTCGATCAATAATGCCGTACTGGGTGGAAGACCTCCACACAAACTTTTGATGCTTCGAAGGATCTTCTTTCTGTGTTCCTGCTTATTTACACCCATATTCTGTGTAATTGATAAAAAACAAATTTTACATGGCTATACAAATTATCATTGGTACATACTATAGCGGACACTTGGGGAATCTGGATAACAATAATTATGCAACAGTTGACAGTTATATTTTGTTTTGTTTTTTTTGCTTGTATGTACAAGCTGTAAAGCTCCCTGCAGGAAATTGTAGATCTACAGTACAAAGGCTTCAATCCATTATCCCCGAATGTGGTAACAGAACCCAATTGAGCTAAAGATATATACAAACCGTTGAGAAAAATATCGCATGAACCACTCAATTCCTCTCACTAACTTCAGTTTTTTTTCCAAAAATGGACCTCTGAATTAAAATCTTCACTGCAGCGGCAAATCCCAGTCAAATGTATAGGAAAATCAAAGTTTTCAAAACGCCGTAAATGGCGTCCTGAATGTACAAACAACGTGAAATGTTCGTTTCGGTATCACTAATTTGAGCATGAAGATGAAAAATCCGTAACGGGAGAATACAAGATTCGGGAGAAAACAAGAGAAACGGACCTCGTAAGGTTCTTAATTTAAATCAATAAATACGTGGCTTTATTAATACGATAAACCTTACCTTGAGTTGTTCCTTATCAAGATGCAGCAGTCGATCACCTCCGATTTCAAACAACGTAAATATTTCCCGATATTCTCCCAAGCCGATACTTTTTAACCATTCACACACTTCAGACACTCTCCAGAACTGGATCATTCCACCTAATGACAAACAACACAAATGTTAAAATGCCACTATAAACCCAAGTATTCCACATACTAAAAATCATATTTGCATGGGGTATGCAAATATGATTTTTAGTATGTGCAATACTTCCAGGGTCATTCAAAAACGAAGTGTAATCTATCTTTATATTAAAAGTTTAATATTTGGGTCATTCTAGAAAGAAATGTAATCTATCTTTACAGTAAAAGATCTTGGTCGACCTTTTCACTGTAAAGTCTCTGCATGGATATGATGTTGAAGGGTATGAAGGAAAACTAATTTGAAACTTCAGAAACTGTAGACCAAAACTGTCATGACCAAGTCATTTCAGGACATATATTTAAAATAGTTTGGAAATTCTTATGTCATGAACGCCATCTATCTGAATGAAGAATCTGGAACGTTCAGTTTTAATTAAGTTCGCCAAAATTCAGTGCGAATCGAGGTTAATGATGAATGACAAGCAGAAACAGCAGCTTACATATGTACGTACCAGCTGGCGCAGTGTTAGCTTTTGGCAAGTCAGGTCTTTTCGTGTTTCTTAACCTTCCCAGACCAAACACTCCTTTTCCTCTCGAAAGAGAATTCTTGTCACTCTATGAAAGATAAAATAAGAAAATCAAATATGGCATACACAATGATGGTTCTTAATCGATAATGCCATGCTAGGGATCCCGTGCCACGTTTCCCGTTGATTCTTCTCATTCCTGCAATTCTGTAATTTTCCTCCTGAAATTCCCATTATTAATTATCAAGGAGAGAGGATTGTTCACTATTTTTGAGACGTTGAGACGTTCTTTTGAATTTTTCCAACTCAGAACGAATATATGTTGGCTTTCAGGATGAACAAATACTTCATCCAGGAGAAGGAAGTCATTACCTCAACCCGAGGTTCTTCACCTCCACTCTCTCGAGTTGTTGTCATTCGCTCACCACTGCCGTAACTTGTTTGTATTAGGGAGTGAGCTTGTCGCATGAAAGCAGTCGAAAAGATTTTACCTCTTCGTTGTATGAACCCAACCCATGAATTTCAATAACTCTTCTTATTGCCTCTCGTGCCATCTCTGCATCTTCATTGATACGATCACGTAATTCGGAAGACATTGCCTAAATGTAAGAGTAATTAACTTTGTTTTCATAAACGTTTGTTAACTGATTTACCTGAAAATAAACTTTCAGGGCATGCGTATTGATGAAAATCAGTAAAAACTTCCTCAGAGCCATGCATGAATGTGAAGGTGCAACATATTATTTGGTTGTCATCAAGAAAATATTCGTGAAAATAAATTATAGCATGATATCTGTGGATGATATATGTTAACTGAGCCATACGCTCCGTCTCAGTAAGTGTTTATCTTTCACTCTGTCCAACGCCAAATAACTTAACTCGTTAAAAGAGTTTAATGAGTAAAAATTACCGGGCGCAAATCGTTCAGTTTTGTTTCCATAAATTCCTTTACATTTTCTTCAAAAAATTTTCCCATTGAAACCAGTTCAGAAAGATCATATCTTGACGCACTCTGGAAAGGTAAAAGAAGTATGCTTTAAAATATATATATATATATATATATATATATATATATATATATATATATATATATATATATATATATATATATATATATATATATATATATATACCGGGTGGCCCAAAAAAAAGTACTCCTGTTTGATTTATAATAACTTCTAAACAAGTAAAGCTATCAAACCGAAATAACTTGCATTAAATAGAGGAAGGACTAACTTAGATTTTGATATGTTACAGTTGTATTTTACTTAAAAATTCACGGAGATATTAATGTTCAAAATCGGGAGCATATTTTGGGATGTGTCTAAAATTAGCGAAAATCGGCATATCAAATATTAACTCCAGCGTTTGTCTGCTTAATGACATATCAGGCTAACTTGTATTTCAGCGAATTCTCGTTAGGGTTTGTAAGGGATATGGCGTAGATTTATATATACATCTTACATAACACTTACTTGTAAGTCTTAGCTCATTGTTTCCTGAAATATGAACGTTCGAAATTATGCAAGTATTTAATAGGTTTTTACAAACTTAAAAGTAGATGAAAGACCATGCAAGGCAGGCGCTTAAATAGCTTTTCTTAAATAGCCTAATTTTTTTATGTTTTTCATGGGTTCAAAACAGTTGATTATTTCTTGGTTATAGCAAGATGAATATTATTCTTTAATGAAGGAAATAATATTGCTTTTTGCAAATACACATCACAGTATCAACGCTACTATTTTGTTACGTTTTGTTCCAAAAATGTTGGATGTCTCTGGGGAGTTGCTTGTTATGTCTTATGGAGTTGTATGGTTTGATTGTGTTTCATTCTCTGTTTATTCTGAACTTGCCAAGATTAAGAAAAGGCAAAAGAGTTTGGGTGTTCTTAACAAGATTTCAGAACGTTGCAGAAGTTAGAAGAGCTTCACAATTCCATTGTGACAGCATGCC